TTGTCTTCAGGCTTCCTCACAGCTCAACCTCTGCTCCTTTTACATCATTATTCCCTTTCTCTTTCCCAGCATCTCAATATACCACCACGCTCCTTGCCTTGAAAGTGCAACCTCTCCTCATACAACCCAGCCCACTAAATTCCCTTTTATTCCGCAGATCCTTCTCATGGAGGAGCTCACCTTCTTACACGAACTGTATTGACCAACAGTTATACATTATTGCAGGAATGGGAGAGACCCTGTACCTGGATATATATCTCTATTTTTTTACTTCATCTAATTTCTCTCTTGCATCAGTCTGTTATTTAATCTAGACCACTGTTTTCCAATCTCTGGCTTTGAAGACCCACAAATGCAGGGCTGCAGGATGCTTATTAATGAAACAAATGGTCTGTGTTCACAAAACTAATGACTCTTGATTTACTATGCCAAAGAACCCAAAGACTGAGAAGCAGCCCTAGTCAGCCCTCACTCTTCCCTCTGCGGTAACCCCTGAGCCCTGCCACATCTCCAGTTTATTTACGCAATCACAAAACTGAAAACAGACATTGAGGGAAGGGGTTAAGAACTTGTCTACTCTTTCAACTTAATCGATCAACCTGAATGTACTTTAAGAAGTCACAGGATTTGTTGTTACCAGAGCATTGTCTTGCAAGAAAACCCACTGGAGAAAAGTGCCCACAAGAGTTCTCACTGTGGCAGCCAGACTGAAACCCGGATGCCTTCAGGAATCCTCTCCGTAAGCCCTCTTCATATTCACTGTTGATTCAAAATAACATATGCCCATACCTATGTTCTCCAGTTAAGGCTGTGAAACACCTGTAGGGTCTTTATTACTGCAAATCTTAAGAAACAAGGATATTTCCAGCCTCCTGGTTTTCACTGCACTACTATGACAAAGTGCAAGTGGCATAAAACTTTCCACGCAAGACTATGTCTCACATTCAAGAGAAAGACCATGCTGGCACAGGCATTGTTGGATAAATTCAAGCTCCAGCTGGCAAGAAGATGCAAATTATTAGGGACCCTTACCACACTGCCTTGGGGCATGGCAACACACTCAGACACAAGCATTGTGAAGCACTGCCCCTGGAGGGTTCTTGTCATCTCCTGCCCATGGGACACCCCAGGAGGCTTCCATGGTCCTCCTCTCACTCCCTCAAAGATGCAGCACACATCTGGCAGCTCTCAGTTACATGAAGGTAACTGGATGCCACATGGAGAGTTACAGAAGGTTTGGCCAAGGAGACCTGCCACGGTCTTTGGAAGCTGGAAAAAGACGATGTTTAATTGCATGTGTTCATTTCTTTGTCCTAAAAACCCACATTTACACTCTGGCTATCCTTTAAAAGGAAACTCAGTTTTCTGCCAATAAATAGCTATGATCACCTACCCAAAAATATTCACAGACAGCTCCGCAAAGTATTCAGTCTTCAGCAAAAAACTAGATCAGTATTCAGTGTGGAAATATAATAGGTATTGTTTGTATAAGACTCCACTTTTAAGTGTGCACCTCTACTCAAACCCAGGTATTAATCCTATTCACTGTAACAGAAGCTTTATTCAATGCTAAGAAAACTAAGTCTTTGCTAGATTGTCCATGACCAATGCAATAGTGTTATACCACATCTTAATGAGTTCAAAATAAATGTAAATGGTTTGATTATGCCAAAATTACATTTCAAGATAAAATCCACAGAGTACGGCAACTTACATTGTAAATCTTCCCATCCACTACCTGTGTGCCTTTTCACTTATGACAACTGTATTATTTCATCTTAAAAGCACAAAGCACAAAAAAATTTACTTATTTTGGGATTTTATTTCTTCCCACCATGTCCCTTAAAATATCTAAGAGGTCTTTTTGTTTACAGATTTGCTAAAAAATTCAACAGATCCAGATGAAGCAGTCGCATCTGCTTGCCCTGTAGTTCAGTAAAACTTTAAATACATTTTAAAAGAAGTTGAAATCTTAGGTTGTTTTACGTTTAAGTAATTTAATCTCATTTTTGTGATTCTGTTAGTTTATAGAATTTTTTTCATCTTTGGACGTGTAAGGTTGCTGGGCAATAAAAATCCAAACAACACTGAAAAGTCTGTGCTAAGTAAAACCTGGATTTAAAAATGCAAGTTATTCCAAATTCATGTTACTAGATGTGCAATCTCAAGTCCTCAGAGAGGTGTAAATGCCATGACTGAGATAAGGCACCTTACTGCCCTGGGGTGCAACCTTGACTTCTGAAGTATACTGAACTGTAAGTAAACATGCAAGACTTGACTCCTGAAGTGCACTGAACTAGAAACTCCAGCTGCTCACAATGGAAGGTACTTGCTCTGTTAACAGATCACTGAAGAGTGATCATGTCATGAAGATGTGCTCATTATGCAATATAAGAACAGCTATTCTATTTCAAATCATCCCTCCAAAGCAAACATGATCAGCAGCTCTGGGAAACTCCACAAACACATAAACAGGCTTTATTTAATATCAAAACCAGCAGGTTTGGTATGCAGGCACAGCCCATATTAATACTAGAAACTGCTTGGAGGAATTGACCATAATCCTGCTAATTAAAGAGAAGTGTTAGAAAGCCTGGGTACCGCTTTGATTTAGCAGTATTCTTTCCAAATATTGACTGTATCTTGTTCAAAACAAGAGCAGTGCCCTCACAACTAAACAGCAATTGACAGGTTTTGTAAATAAACATGCCGTTTCTTTGCCGACACAACAGCAGAAATGAGAGGACTGGGCAGTCACTGACCATATGAAGTTCAACAAGGGAAAGTGGTAGATTCTGCACCTGGGTTGAGGCAACCCTGGATGTACATACAGACTGGGGAATGAGATACTGGAAAGCAGCTCTGTGGAAAGGGACCTGAGGGTCCCGGTTGATGGCCAGTTGAATATGAGTCAGCAGTGCCCTGGCAGCCAGGAGGGCCAACCCTGTCCTGAGGGGCATCAGGCAAAGCATCACCAGCCAAGCAAGGGATGGGATTGTTCCGCTCTGCTCTGCACTGGTGGGGCCTCACTTGAATATTGTGGCAGTTTTGGCCACAATATAAGAAATACATTAAGCTATTAGAGAGTGTCCAAAGGAGGGCAACAAAGAGGGGGAAGGGCCTTGAGAGGAAGCCATATGAGGAGCAGCTGAGGTCACTTGATGTGTTCAGCCTGGAAGAGGAGACTGAGGGGAGACCTCATTGCAGTCTACAACTTCCCTGTGAGGGGAAGAGGAGGGGCAGGCACTGATCTCTTCTCTATGGTGACCAGTGACGAGACCGAAGGGAATGGCCTGAAGTTGTGTCAGGGGAGGTTTAGGTTGGATATAAGAAAAAGGTTCTTCACCCAGAGGGTGGTTGGGCACTGGAACAGGCTCGCCAGGGCAGTGGTCACAGCACCAAGCCTGACAGAAATAAAAAGGCATTTGGATGATACTCTCAGGCACATGGTGTGACTCTTGGGGATGGTCCTGTGCAGTGTTAAGAGTTGAACTTTATGATCATTGTGGGTCCCTTCCAACTCAGCATATTCTGTGTAAAGAAAACCCTACATTTTCATATTTGTTAATTTGTTAGATGTCATAGTCTTTAAAGCAGAATAATAGCTTGCAGTCTTAAACAATAATACTAAAATGTGCAACACATTTTTGTGAGCCGGGGTGTGGGGAGGAAGGGACTAACTACTGCAGAGAAATTCCCACTTGACACCTGTCATGATAATCCCACATCAATAAGCAATGATGTAAAACATTTACAAGCAATATACAAGGAACAACCACTGTGGTTTCCAGTCAGGATGATGACTATCACCAAAGTAACCCTGTGGGATTCAGACATAAAGTTAGGTCCCGTGTTTGTAAAGATGAACTCCTCTGAACTCTGCAGCCAGACATTAAAGTCCCACTGACATCAAGGGACACTTGCAAATCATCACAGGACTACTACCACTCTAGACCCCAAGCACAGGTACGCAGCCAAATGTATTCATGCCATTTATTTTTGACAACACACAGAGCGTGCCTTTTACTTCAGCTACTCATTTCTCCCTAATTATGCCAGAAGACAATTTATAACAATAGGTATTAGTCAATTATTCCTGAAGAAAAGTGGATGACTGCTTCGAATTACACAAATTCCAGAAATACTCATATACTTTGCACTTTTATCGCAGGAAATTTATGCCAAGATTCAGCAGCCCCTATGAACGTTAGCTTCACCACCTACTTCAAAACTAACAGTCGGAAGAGCTTTGTTCACCACCTTCCCTCAACAACCAGGGAAGAATGACTATCTTATCAGACTGGAGACCAGCTGCATGTGATAATACCCAGTGTGGTCTACCAATTAATTATCTATCATCTATTAAATGTGTACTAGTGACCATCGTTTAGGTGTCCTGCAGAAATTAAAAGACATAATAATTCAAATTTGGATAAGCAGACAAGGAAAAAAGCAGAGGCTGTCTGAGGAAAAGCCGTGCTGCATGTGTCAAGAGCAGACACCAGCAGAGAGAGCCCTCAGAGAGGTGAGAGGTGGCTCTGGGGAAAGGCGTGAGAGTGAGGAAACCCCAACTCCACGTCCAACCAACTTTCCTCTGCATGATTTATAAAAAGGAATGTCTTAGGGACGTAGCTCCTGCTTCGGTGCACAAGCACCCCTGGCAGCGCTGCACCCGCAGCTCGGGATGGCTCAGCCACACGGCCTATCACAGCGTGCAGGGCTCCGACCGGGCGGACCCCGGGCCGTTCCCCCTCTCAGGCGAAGGACATCCTTCGCTGGCGAGCGAGCGGGCAGGGGTCTGAGACCAAACGCTGTCCGTCCTCCCACCTCTTTCTCCTCAGCTCCCTTCCCCAGCGGCCGGTCCCCCTTCCCGCTTCGCCTTGCTGCGTCTCGCCTGCCCTCTCCGGGACCTTCCCTCCCGCCTGGCCCCTCCACCCCGGCCCAGTACGTACAAAACCACCAGGGCAGCCCCACGAAGGGCTGCGGGGCCCAACACTCACCGCGCCACCGTCGCCGTCCTCCGCCCGCTGCTCCTGTCTCCTGCCGACAGTGGGCGACCCCTGCAGCAGCTGCTCCAGGCAAGCGGTGCTGGGCAACGAAGAGCTCTTCTGGTGGGACAGGTGCGCCCCAGGCCGGCGCCCCTCCTTCCCGCTCGCCTGCCCCTCATCGCCGGCGACCGGCACTAGCCGGCAGCCCGGTGGCGGCCCCTTGCCCTGGGGAAGCAGGTGCTCCCGCAGGCGGCGCAGGGCGGAGCCGGACTCGCCGTCCGGCTCTAGCGGCTCAGCGGCCGAGCAGCAGAGATTGGGTTGGGAGGACGAAAAGACGCGGTCCAGCACTTGCCGCCGCCGCTTGAAGCCGCTCCACTTTGCGCCGGGCGGCAGGTCCCCCTTGCCGCTGGTCGGGGGCGGTGCGGGGGGCTCCGCAGTGCGGCGCTCGGTTCCTGCCCGCCCGCCGCCGCTCCGGCCCTTACCCCCCAGCTGCAGGTTCTTCCACAGCCGGGCCTGGAAGGATACTGCCGACTCAGATTCGCTGGGCTTTCCCGCGGTGGTCATCTGGGGCTCCTTGCCTGCCTCCATCCTTCTTCTGCGACGGAGGCGGTGGCGGCAGCAGAGCACGCCGGAGCCCGGCGCCTACTCTCCGGTGCTGGGCGGGCCGGAGCGGAGCGCCCGCCGTCGGGAACGAGCGCAGGGTTCCACCGCGCCGCCCTCCACTCAGAGTGGCGCGACCGAGGGAGGCTGGAGCTGCAGCGCTGACGTTGAACCTAAAAGAAGGACGAAACCCTCACCTTGGCCCAGCCGGGCGGAAAGTTTGCCTTCCTAGGCCCCCCACCCTGGCTGTACCCTCGGTGGCAGCGGGCAGCGCGAAGCGAGGTGCAAGGGGAGCAGCGGCTCGGCTATGTATACGTGCGGCAATGCACATGAGGACGTAGCAGGAGGGGGCTTATCCTGCCCACCTCCCCATCTATTTTCTGCATTGGACACAGCTGCACCGTACGAGAGGCTTGGAGGGCAAACGGCTCCGGAGGTCTCCGCGGAGAGCGAGGGTAGGGAGTGTCTGCGTTGTGATATCTGCGGTCTCCTTTGGGGTCGGGGTACACCCAGACCCTGTGTGAAGGTGGGAACGTGAAGTGAGTCCCCGGCCGGGCAGACATCGTCCCTAAGCCGCGGCAACCTTGTGGAGGGAAGGTTCAGTGGGATTTGCTCGTGCAGGTACAGTAAACGCTGCAGAAAATAACCGGCCTCGTCACCGGCTCTGCGCTTCGGCAGCGGTGGGCGCAAAATGCAGGGCACGGCCAGGCAGAACCCGCCAGATATGGGCGTTTGCCAGTCTCGTATTTTTTAAATTAAAAAAAAAGTTGTTTTGTCATTGCAGCATACTGGATTAGTAGCCCCGTCACTGCATTTTTGGATGCTTAACGCTATCTAAAGTGTCTTTTTTTAATTAAAATAATACCAGCAGGATGATTTCAGAACAAGTCTTTACGTTCCATGAAACAAACAAGCAAAAGAAATCTTTTGGTGTATAGTGAGCCATACTTTTATGTAGGGTACTTTTGGGTTTCATTTCAAAAGACACTTCTTCACACCATTGAGGTTTTGGCCACCTGTATTCAACTTTCCCAAAAAAGTTTGCAGCCAGGCGTTTGACAGTACAACTTTTGCTGAACAGAACAGGAAGAATACAAATTAAAAGTATTGAGATAAAATGGGTGCTTTCAAATGATTGGGGGCTTGGAATTGTATCTAAAGTATTTGAGAAAATAGCCAAAATAACTTCTGAACCACTGGAGGTTGTTTTTGATGAGTCCTGTCAGATAAATGACATTTCAGGACCAGGAAAAGCCAAAGATAGTCGTAGCAAAAAAAAAAATTCAAGATAGAAAATGACAGATAGGTCAGCCTACTTTGATCCCTGTAAGTAAATCTAAATTATTAGCTTCTACTACCTAAAAGCAAAACCATCAGGTAGCAAAGCCCGAATGGATCAAGGTCTGGAGGAAGCTTATGTGTCAGAATTTTTGAAATGACATCTTTAAATTAAAGAAGAAACGTGCTAAAATGGAAGCTCTTTAAAAGGTCTGCTTTCTTGTAAATAATGGGTTTACTCAATGAGCAGGAATCAAGAGAATAAAATATGAATTTAGTTCTTCCCTTTTAGTAGTGAAAAAGACTACAGAAGTATTTCAATATATACATGTGCCTTGTGTGTCACTTTTTGTTTTCACATTACAGTCAAAACATAGAATAAGCAGCTTTTCAGGTAAACAGCGTTTTCTGTTAAAATTAATACTCTTCACAAAGCCAATAGGTATAGAGAACTACAATATTCTGTTCAAAAGAAATTGTTATTTATCAAAATACTGAAATACTCTGATATCTTTAAATGACAGTTATTTTCACAAGTGATCACATTTTCCTTTTCAAGAAAAAGAAAGACCAGAAATTTGTTGTTTGTGTAGACATATTCCCTACAGAAAGTAATCTCGCAAGTAGAACAGTACATGGATGCTATTTGTCTGGGAGTGGTGTACACAAGCCTCAATATGCCTTGTACTGTGTTTTTATGATCTGTGCATTGAGTGGTCCCAAATAACGTGCTGGCAAGCCTCCTGATTCTTCTTCCACATAAACCAGCATAAGCTTTCCTTACATTAAAATTCTGTCATTACACTGTAATTTCCAAATTGGTCTAATTCAACCAATTATCAACCAACCTTTTTATCCAACCAGCAAGTAGATTTGCTTATAAAAGGATCAAAGGAGTTTAGGCTGTTTAGTTGCAGAAATACTCATTGTCCTGGGGTTGAAGGACATCTGGGGTGAGAAGGCAGTATGTGGCTCTGCTGCAACAGGCAGAGTGAGATTATTCTAGAGTTAATTCAAAGCAGTTCACTATAAACAGTTTTACAACAAAATGAGTCATTCTGCACATTGAATTCTCTCTGAGCTATGTTTTTTTAAGTTGAAGCAGAACCTAGCAGAAAGATCATAGGAAGACTTCAAACAATATTCAAATAGAAATCTCAATGTTTAACAAAACCATGGGTTTAACACCTGTGCAGTTGAGAATGATACTTCTAAACATACAAATAAACCTTTATTAGCCTTAGAAATAAAAGAAGGCTATCTGAAAATACTTGTTTACCCCATATTGCTTCAAAGTTTTATAAGCTAAAACAAAACAGAACAAACAAACAAACATAAAAGAATGATGTGGTATTTCAAACAAGAAACCAAGGAGAATATGTTTTTTGTTTCCAACATATAAAGTATACCTATCAAAAAGGAAGAACATTTTCTGGGTAAGGCAGCTATCAGTCTTGTCAGAACTGTATTTCATTTATCTATATATGTCATTACTCTAATTAGTTTAATTTAAACTGATAAAACAAATGTACTGCTCAATACTAAGCACCATGCATTTTTTTTTTAAATATTTTCTAATGCTTTTTAAGACTCTGACCCAAAGCCCCAGATTTCTCTAGTTATTTAGGTCAAATAAAAGTCTTTGGTTTGGTTTGGTTTTGCTTATTTCTTGAAAAAAAAAGTTACTTTGTTGCTTCTGATAGTTAGGTAATTATTTGTAGGTATTTATATTTCAAAAGACACTTAATTTTTTAGTTAACACCTCTTTTTGAAACACCCTCTCTTCTCCCATCATTCAGAATATAAAATACAGCGAGAATGGTAATATGGAAATACATACCAGACATATTTGAAGGCAGTATTGGAAGATGGCCTTAGGCTCAAAAGCTGAGCATGATTTTGTTCTTCTAGTCTAGAACCACATTTTTAACACCACTTGCACATCATTTTGCCTTGTTTTTTCTCTGTGTTTCTTCAGTCTGAATTATTATGGATTTTTGTTTCTTTTTTCATCAGACTTGTGTTTCAGATGGAAAAGTTCTTGTAACGCAGTTTTTAAGTACACCCTCAAATGTTGGTTTTTGCTTGATTTTATCTCCACACTAACAAATGAACATAGGCATCCCAGTAAACAAATTCAAGTCTTGTCATGTTAAACAGTATCTCAGGCAATGAGTTCTCCCCAGCCCATTGTAAGAAGTTTCATAGTATGCAGACAAACACATACTCTTTAACTCTTGTCCTCCACAGTGAAAATATTTTTACCTGAAACTTTCTAATTGAGATTCAGTGAGAGTCAAGAAATAGACTGTTGTAGCCAGTACAGAATATTGTAGCCAGAATAGTGAAGAGCTTTAGAATATTACAAGTATTGAAAGTGTGCCTGAAGCTTCAGGCAAGCTTAGCTGTAGACAGTACTACAAGTCCTGTTTTCACCCACAGCTGCACAGTAATGAGAACATTTCTTCTTGCATTTTATACCAGTAATCCTGTTTCTGCTCTTCTAATTTGACTAAACATAGCTTCTCACAAAACCAGTTGCAACTTAGCTCCACAAAATGTTTCATCATCTTAATGTAGTTTTGAGTATTTTTATCCAGCTACGGGGTTTTTTGGCAGTAATGATAACAGTACAGATTCAACCACTAACCTAGGATAGTGCAGGCTTCAAAATGTATTCCTGAAGTGAGAGAACCCTCCTTATGACAAAGTACTGGGAAGAGTCTAAATTGAACTGTTATGAAAAACTGAGTCAACTTACTGGAGATTAATTTCCCTTCATTTCATGTACATCTTTGTCTCTAATATTTTAACCGTATTGCTAGCCTTCTGCTAATGTTCCTTAGCTATTTCTTTGATTGTTGTTGTTGATACCTGACACAGTTTCTTTAATAACATGTACAGGAAGGTCTAATGCAGCTCCTGGGAATAAAGGAGAGAAAAAGCAGAGTCACACAGCATTGGTGTATCATAAGCCATGTGCAGCAATTCAAACCATGTAGTCAGACCATATTCCGGTCTACACACAATGGTAGAAAATCCAGCGAGACGTTCTCACAGCTGAGAAGAAGCAGGCTGACTGACGGGGGGAGAGCTGTAACCCCCCTTATGCATGACCCAGAAGGACCACTCTGCATGCAAGTCACAATGTGGCACAAAATGGCCCTTTATTGAACACGGACACAGGCTTATAAACAGAGAGCAGGGATCTTTCTAGAACTTAGGGAGGAGATTGGGAGGAGTACTCAAAAGAGCGGCCAGTCATGGTAACAAGGGGCGGAACCTATCTAAACATGGACAAATAGAGAAAGGGTTTGTATAGAACCAATAGGAGAAAAGGTAATGGGTACAGAGAAGGAAATCATATATTCTCATAGTAAAACACATTATGCCAACAAGAGAACAATTGCACAACCAAGTTAAACACTGGAAACAGACACTCTTGTGGTTATGATAATCATATCTTGTGCATGACAGCATAAGTGCACTGCGAGATATTTTCTTCTCTCTCCGATCTCTCCTCATTAAGTCTCTTCCACCAGTCGTAGGAGTCTCTTAGGGCACCTCCAACAGCTGACCCTACTAGAGGACCAAGTATCAAGATCTGGTACTTCCGATGTTAGCAGATGTTTTTCCCCTTCAGATAGGGAAAGGACAGGAGGTAACAGCTTTAAACTGAAAGACGGTAGATTTAAATTAGATACTAGGAAGAAAGCTTCACTGTGAGGGTAGTGAGGCACAGAACAGGTTGCCCAGAGAAGCTGTGAATGCCTCATCACTGGAATTGTTCAAGTGTTCACGGAACAAAATGATCCTTCAGGTCCTTTCCAACCCAAACCATTCTATGAATCTGTGATTCAGATCTGCAAGACTGAATATACAGCTCTTTTATTTTTGAGTTCTGGTTTAAATTGCAGCAATGTTAGTACTAAATTTTAATATTAATTTAGAAATTTTATAAGGCTTCATTTTTATTCTAAACTTGTCTGGCATCTTCAGTATTTCCCTAGTTAATACATATAAATATTGACAAATCTGTATTTGATACATTTCAAACTACTCTTGGCCTATTTTATATCGTATCTGTGTTCGTTTTATAATATGAAAAATATATGTAAAGAAAATTATATCCTTAAATGGTTTGTAGGGTATTCTGTAGTATTACATATTTTGGCCTATTCTATGACGCTCTATCTTGCTAGCATGACAAGTATTTTTGCAAAATAAAATATGTCCATCAATTGTTCTTTTTGATTCTATGATTCTTCTCAGCTTCAGCCTTAGATTTTTATTCCTATATGGTAAAACCCATCAGTTCTTATGATTCAGTACTAATAGTCATGTTGGCCTTTAAAATTATTTTTAATGATTGACTCAAGTAGTTTTATATCATTGCAAAATCCCAAGTTCATAAACTATTAGATCAATGGCAAAACCTTAAAATGCTTCCACTGCTCCTCAACATTTTCTTTAGGACAGGTTTTGGTGTTTCCTTCAGTATCTGTCAGGGTTAGTGGGACAGCTGTAGCTCTTTCCTCTTTCAGTCCTTCTGAAATCTCTTCTATATGGGTCTTGCTTTTAGGTCTTTGCCTAGCTTTCAGAGAAATGTCATGATTCACTGTGGAACCTATGTCTTCGTAACTCGTATGTCTCTCCAGGTATTAAGTTCAGGCTTCTTTATTTCCTTCCTTTGCATGCACAGTAGCCACTGAGTTCAAAGTCTTCTTAGAATCAGAATGTCATTTATTTTAGCTATAGAAACAAAAGGAAATATTATTAAAAATTATAAACTGTAGATACTTTCCATATTCATCTTCTGTTGCCATCTCAGCCTCAAATTCTGCTTGGCTCCTTAGCTATCTTAATTCTTTTTACAGTTAAAAAGTACAGTTTTAGTCTTTGTCAGTATTCTGTATTTTTACCCTTTGACAAAAAAGCATGTCTGTGTGTTCATCTACATGTTAAGTATCTTGGATGTTCAGAGTAAATCTTCTTGGCAGTAGTCCCTGACAACTTTCACATCTCTGTTGAAGCATCATCAGTGGTGCCCATTTTTCAATTCCTGCTAGTTCTTTGAGGTGTCTCCTGTTGACCCTGTATAAATTATATGAGGAACTGACTGCATACACCATAAATGAGAGTTCCAAATACTGCAATACCCAGAACATTTACTGATCTTTATGGTCAATGCACTTAATCTATTTCAACTACCATTGAACAAATTCAGAGAAACTAATTTTTTTCTTGTCTCCTAAACTTATTCATAGGTCATATTCATAGGTCATTTCTGCTTAAAATCATTTCCCCTCCCAACAGCCTTCTTCCTTTGTAAGCTCTCAATATCCCAAGGAAATGTAAGGATTTTTATAGGGGTTTTTTTGACTTAACAATGCTCACATTTAGAATTGCCTCCTGATTCTGCTAGTGGCACTGGGGTCCTGCAACACAATGAGCAATTTCAATTTCAGTTGAAATGAGAGACTGTGGAGGACTCTTGTGGTCTTCTTCATTTCCTGCTGCATCCCAGCACTGGCATTAGGAGTAGTGGAAAAGGAAAAAGTTGATTGGAGACTCATTTGGAACTTGCATGTAAATATATATATAATCTGAATCACAGATACTGTGAGAGTATAAGAAGGACAGAAGCGGCTGATGAGACAGGAACTGTCTCTCTTTGTCCTGGGGCTGTGGCTCAGAGGAGTTCGCCACCTGCCCGCTGTAGCTGTGGGGATCTGCTTTGCTGCCACCGCCCGCCTGCTACCAGTTGCCACAGGTACCTGCTTTGCTGCCACCACCTGCCCACTGCCAACCTCCATGGGGACCTGCTTCACTGCTGCTGCCACTGCTGCCACTGCTGCCACTGCTGCCACTGCTGCCAGCATCTCTGCCCAGAGTCACCGTTCTGCATGGCTGCCACAACCGTTGTTGCCACTCATGCAGCTGCAACTCTGCCCCACCTACGTCGTGATCATGTGACCACGTTGGGACTGTGTTGCATTTTGGGTGACAGTTTTTTTCTGTTATTGTTTGGTTGTTGTTTTGTTCTGGTTTGTTCTTTGTTTTTCATGAAATTGTTATTAATTTTCATATGCCAGTGGAATGCCTCATAATTTAAAAAAAAATTTGTAATTTAGGGGGACGAGTTTCTATTCCATTGGAGGTCCCACCTCCTGGGACACATTGTCAATAAACCAAGATACCCACCCACTAAGACTAGGCATGATTCTTGCGATTTTCCCACTAAGCAAAAATTTTCAGGAAACTGATCAGTATCATGTAAATGGCTTACAAGTGATTGAGATCACACCTTTGTGAAATCTATGTCATCCAAAATGCAGAATGGTCGCTTCATTTTGCATGTTCAGTCCTGGGTATGTACATTCTAATGTGAGCTTGTTTCATAACTGCAATCAAAGCTTTCCAACATGTTAACCTAGAACTTTGTCATATACAGTCAAGAAGAATAGGTATACCACCTAATATTCAGCACCTGTTCTCCTTGATGTGTTATTGGAACTACAACTTACCCTTCTTTGTACTCATTACTGATCAGAAAAGGCTTGTTGTCAGACAGGGCTAACTTCTTGTCTTGTACAAGCAGGCATCAATAAAAGACGAAACAAAAGTAGATGTGTTAAGGCAACAGGTGTAATTACTGGTTTGTCTCATATGACATTAAGAGAGCAGTATTTTTACATCTGTGAATACATCTGAAACAGACTCTGTCTGAAATGAAGCTGAAAAGCCTTTTAGCTTCTGGCTGAACAATTTTATGCACCAGAGAACACTCTGAAGCCCCAAAAAGCAGTACTTGAGCATTGCGGAAAGTTTCTGGTCCGTTCATATCTGTTGAATTGAGAAGCATCATGGACCTGGGTTGATGCGTTGTGGGTGAATCACTGGGGTGCATCACACTGGCAATTACTCTGGAAAGTGATTTGATGCTTTTATAAGGTGATGGACATTTTCCTGATTGATCTTAAATATTTGAATAGCATACACAGACATAAAACTGTTTCCTGCTTAAAAACTTCAGCATTTCAAAATTTTTTATGTCTTTCTGAGTTAATGTAGTATCTCTGTATATCTGTTTGTATCACTCTCTGTTTAACTCTGTTTATCCCTGTGTATCTCTGTATAGCTGATGCATTCCAAATGAAAAAAAAAAAAACCACAAAAATCTGTTTTTTTCACTATATTTTGTTATAATCTGTTTTCAAGAAAAGTGGACTTCTCATATTGCTGAAGTATCTGCTGTATGAAACGCAGCCAGGCAGTACTGAAAATGGGCGGTTTTCATGTGTATAGTGTCTTCACTAGGAGGTTGCAAGAAGATGCCAGAGCATTTCACTTATTCTTGTGGTCCTGGGGAGACAACACTGAAGATGTGGAGGTAGTCCAAGAAGAGGAGAGGAGTTGTCCCTCTAATCTGGCAACAGCCTCATTATTCAATTCGGGTAAGCTAATTTTCTGCAGAACTTTATGTTCTTTTTACTTGCAAACCTATTAAAAGCAAATCTACTAGTTATACAGTAGCAGAGTAAGTATTCACAATCCTTGTTCTACTACTTTGCAGAACGGCATTTTTACTTTGATCAGATAATTTAAGAAATCCCCATTGTCTGAAAAGTTATGATCAGAAAACTTAACCTGGAAAAGCAGATATTTAGAAAAAGTAGACTACCTGAAAGAAAGGTAGTTTAAAATATATCAAACAAGGAGAAAAAAAGAATATCTGTGTAAGATGATTTGCTTGGCATAGTGATCCAAAATGCTGTAATCTGTAATGGGAATATTTTTGAGCAGAAAAAAATAGTTTATTTTGAAACAAAGAACAATACAGATACATTTTTTCCACTAAATGTGTGGAATTATACCCACGTATGTGTATATTTATAAGTACACAGGGGAAACCCAGAGATCAAGAGGGTTTGCCTCTGTTTCCCCACTTTGTGCTATGTTTTCTGATGGACAGGAAGTGGGTTAGTAGAAAAGTAAGGAGCAGAACAGCAGAGCTGTGCTGCGTGAGATATCAGTCCCACACCTTTAACTGGGAAGGACCAACCTAATTGTCTAGACTGCTTCTGTCAGGACTTTGTAATTATACAAAAAGCCAAAAGTAGCTGGCATTTAGGAGACAGGCATCTTCTAAGACCAATCTGGTTTGGTTGTGCTACATAAAAGAGACTTCTTAGCACCCAGAATTTGGAAGAAAACTAGAAATTACTGTTTGACTTGAAAGGTTTTCCATACCTTATGGTTTGCACAGGAAAAATTTGGTCTCTCAAGGTTAATACATTACTGCTTTCACAGCTTTTATGCATCTAGTAGTTGCAGGATGATAAACTCTCCCAATGAGATTGTTCCTTCTGCCTGTCCCCGTGGAGCAGCATAGTGAGCATTTTGTTCCTTTGGACCATTGTGTGTAGATGTGGGATATAATAGGGATTCAAGGCTACATATTTGTGCCAAGCTATAGCTCTTTCTTACAGCATGATAAGCTCTTCCAACAGCATCTCAAAATATGGAAGGTGGGTGAGCTGCCTTTATCCTCTGATACCCAAATTCCTCTTGTGAGGAATAACCACATTGCAAGTGCTCTCATAGCCCAGATGCCCTTTCCATCATTTCACTGCCACTAATCCTTCCAAGCGTTTCTCTGTCTTTTTCTTTTAATTCTTTTCTGCATGTTATTTAATCTCTCATTATCTCTTCTTTTGACTTGTCTGCTTTTTCAGCGTTCTCTTTGCCTTTTCATTTTTAGCAAAATCAGAAATTTTGTCAAATTGAGTCCTACAGTCTGTCATAGCACATTTTAACTCTGAGTGCCAGATGTAAGAAGTTTGAAGTGTCAGAACACTTTAGGGAATATTATGATGAAAAGTAGAAGGGTAAAATCATCTAAGCAACACTTGCACATTTTCCTGTTTGCTTATACTAGATAGATAAAGACATCTTTTTCAAAAAATATTTCATTTCTTTCTTACTTGTGATGTGCTTTTTCTCCTGTTGATATTTTCTCCGTCCTTGAAAGTATCCATGAGAACCACGAGAAACTCAGTCATTGGCAGGAAATTAGGAATTAAGTTTAATGATTTCCCTTTCATAATGAGTTCTTTTTATGTGTTTTTCTCAAAGAACCCATGACAACAGCTGGTCAAAGGGATAATTACACATAGAAAAAAATTAATATTTGTCTAATGAAATTAATGTGAACATTTTCAGCTATTGAATGTTGTTAGAAATCATTTGATGGATAATGCATTCCAGAAATGGCAACTACAGTCCATAAAACAAATTGATTAAAAAATATTAATTTTTATTTAAAATAGATGTACAAATAGCTACAATACAGGTTCACTGGCAACTACTTCAATGTTCACATTTTTGTAGACTTTGCACTCTTGGAGGGTACAGTACTGTTTAGGTATTTAAACAGTGTGCACTGTTTAGATGGTGATGTACAGAGCTATGCCATGATATGAATGCCTGATTATTTGACCTTAAGGCATTTAACTATACACTGACACATACAGAAAACTCATCCAGAAGACTTTTAGAAAAACCTGGAAATTAATTTGTACCAGACAGCCTAAGCTGCAAAGCTCTCCAACGAGCTACAGCTCCTGGGATTTAAGGCTACAGCCCTTACTGCACATCCAGAATCCTGAAAACCCTGCATGTTTGTGGGAGTCCCATTTCAAAAGCAGCTTCCCAGCAGTGCAGATGCTACTTGCCTGAGAGGTGCTGGTGTCCCCAGCCTCCCTGCTGAGGTGCTGCTGGAAGCCAAGGTCACCTGCAGCCCCAGGAGTGCCAGCAAGGGCACCCCAGTGGAATCTCACCTGCATTTCTACACACCTTTGTCAAACCAATATATTCATGTTTCCAAAGGTATAGTGCAGGCTTGCACTATAGTACCTTTCTGAGACAGCTGTACAGGACAGTTCCTGTATCAACTTTCAGGAAAGAGCAACTACATTTCTGAATTCAGTGTTTGTGAAGAAAACCTTGTATGTATGGCAAAAAAATATCTATTGATCAGTCATGTCATCTTCAGTAAGACAAAAATTAACTACAGGACACAGCAGCAGTCCTTTTTGTTGCTTTTTCTTTCCTTATGCTGCAGTGTGGGTTGGATGTATATTCTTTAACACCATCCTTTTAAGGGCTTTAAGGATGTAGCATCTTTCGTCTCTGATGTTTGGGTTAGTGGTAACACTACCTCAGGTTTAATACCAGTGACCCAAAACATCTGAGATGGAATATACTACAGACTAGCATCCTTCCTCTCTGAAAAAATCCCTTAGCAGGTTGTTCAGCCGGTCTGAAAACTGTTTAGGAAAAAACACAGTAACAATAAAGATAATATTTTTTTATCCCTAATCGTGAGGGCTGGGATGCTGAAGTACACTTACTCTGTCATGATTCTCACCTGCTAGTCTCCAGATCCTGTTTCCAAGACAGACATGTTTCTAAACACAAAGAACAAAACAACATCTTGTAAAATTCAAACTCCCTGTGACGTGCATAATTTTTAGTTTTAAATTAGTTTACCAAAAAAAGAAGCCAAAATGGATATAAGGGCCATATTCTTCACTTTTAATCTAAGTTTTACAGTGAGTCGTTCTAGCTTGGTCTTTCTAGTGTCTTGTTATTGGTATGGATTTCCAGTGGAAAATGATGGTGTGGAATAGAGCTTATAAAAAATATTTCTCTGCCTTTCACTTTGAGCACTGTTTGGTTTCTTTAGTGTACAGAAAGCTGGCTTGTTTTTTATTCTGCTATGGTATGAGTTCTTAGATCTGCAGGAGACTTTCCAGGGCCATGCATATCTTAATTAATGTAACACTTACTTCATAGACATGTTGAGATGCTTATTTAATGCAGCGTTTTACAGTCAGGGAGAAAAGAATGACAAAATACAGCCAACTGTTATTTTACCCAAAATTTGATGTCTGTCTACTAGGAAAAGGGCTAAAAGGGCTACATTTTGTAAGAAATAGAATGTGAGTACATGGTTACCATAAGAGGAGACTATTCTGTCATCATCATGGCTAGGCTTTGCGAACGAAGATTTTGGGAAAGGCTCTATCCACATTTGTTGCAAGCACGCTGGTGGCTAATAAGGCCAATATGAGATAGACATGTCCAATTACAAAAGGCACAGCAGAAAGACTCCTTAGGTGGTATATTCTGCAAGGCACGATTCTTTCTGCGTTGTCTTTTCTCCTCAAGAGCGATCCTGTGTGCGTTCTCAAAGGAAGCAGCAGCGTTATAGATGGTGTGTGTCTCCAGGCCTCCCAACTTGAGGCCAGAGTAGACCAGTTATGTTGAACAATATGGCCAAGGTTGAGATGCTGCTTCAGGGAGTCCTTGTATCTGTTCTTTGGGGCTCCTCTCTTGCAGCAGCCGGTGGCAAGTTCACCATAAAACACGATCTTAGGGAAGTGGTGGTCCTTCATCCTGGAGACGTGTCCTGCCCAGCGCAGCTGTGTTCTCAGCAACATGGCCTCAATGCTTGTGACTGCTGCTTGTTCTAGAATAGACATATTAGTCACATAATCTGACCAGTGAATGTTTAGGATTGTACGGAGACAGCGCTGATGGAAGCGTTCTAGGAGATGTAGGTGGTGGCGGTAGATGACCCATGATTCGGATCCATATAAGAGAGTAGACAGCACTATGGCTCTGTAAACACTGATCTTTGTACTTTTCTTCAAGTGTTTATTACGCCAGACTCTTTTATGGAGTTTTCCAAAAGCACTATATGCCTTTGCTAACCTGTTGTCTATCTCTCCATCAATCTTACCATCCAAGGTGATGAGGTAATTAAACTGCTGGACTGATTTGAGCTCTGATTGGCCAATGGTGATATGGGGATGATGGAAGACTTCCTGAGGTGCAGGTTGATAGAGAACTTCTGTCTTCTTTAAGCTGACTTCCAGCCCAAAGAGCTCAGCAGCGTCTGCAAAGCAGGATGTTAAACGCTGCAGAGCTGCTTCTGTGTGGGCGAAAAGGGCAGCGTCATCAGCATAGAGCAGCTCCCGGACAAGATGGTTTAAGGTCTTGGTGTGGGCCTTCAGTCGCCTTAGGTAGAATAGGCTTCCATCGGTACGACATCGAATGTAGATACCATCCTGATCACTGAGGTCTGCCGTGGCCCTTTGGAGCATCATGCTGAAAAAGACTGTGAATAGGGTTGGTGCAAGAACGCAGCCTTGTTTCACACCATTGGTAATTAGAAAGGGCTCAAGAAAGTGCATTACCATATCTGACTTGGCCATGTTGATCCTCATGGAGTGAGATGATCATTTTAAGGAACTTGGAGGGACAACCTAAACGTTCCAAAATCTGCCATAGACCTTTTCTGCTCACAGTATTGAAAGCCTTGGTGAAATCAACAAAGGTTACATAGAGACCTTTATTCTGTTCCTTACACTTCTCTTGCAGTTGTCTGAGAACAAATACCATGTCTGTGGTACTCCTGTTGGCTCTGAAACCACACTGACTTTCAGGTAGAATTCCTTCTGCTATAGTGGGTATTAGTCTGTTTAAGAGTATTCTTGCCAGGATTTTGCTAGCAGTGAAGAGCAGAGTAATACCACGGTAATTTGAACAGTCTGATTTAATTCCTTTCTTCTTATACAAAGTGATGATGACTGCATCTCGAAGGTCTGATTGGAGTTTGCCTAGTTCCCAACAGTGCACCACAAACTCGTGAAATTTAGCATGGAGTGCTTGGCCCCCATGTTTCCAGATTTCAGGAGGAATTCCATCAACTCCAGCTGCCTTGCTGATTTTCACCTGCTGTATGGCCTTAAGAGTTTCTCCCATAGTAGGGGCAGTATCCAATTCATATTTCACCGGTTGTTGTGTGATGGACTGAATTGCTGAGTCCTGGACTACACGGTTGGTACTGAAGAGAGTCTGAAAGTGTTCAGACCATCGATTCAGAATGGAGGTTTTGTCTGTCAGAAGTGTTTGACCATCTGTGCTGAGTTAGAGGGCTTTGGACCTGCTATGTAGGCCCATATGCTGTTTTCAAGGCCTCATAGAATCCTCTGTGATCACCCATATCTGCGCATAATTGAGTTTTTTCATCTAGATTGATCCACCACTTGTTCTGGATGTCACGGAGTTTCTCTTGGAGCTTGCTGCACGCAAGATGAAAGGCTGCTTTTCTTACGTGACAGGAAGGCATTGCAAGGTGTGCTTGATGAGCAGTTCTCTTCTTCCTCAGCAATTCCGGGATCTCTTGATAGTTTTCATCAAACCAGTCCTTGTTCTTCTTGAAGGAGAACCCTAAGGATTCTTTAGAGGACTGCTGGATGCTGTTTTTAATATGGTGCCAAGTGCTTCAGGAGAGGGACCTATAGAATCTATAGAATGATTTTCGAACCTAGTCTGTATATTAGTAAATTCATTGCTACAGAAGTAATTTTGCATCAGGACCCCACATCCACATTTTTCCCACCTGAAATAGCCCTGCGACACTTGACTGAGATTAACAATAATATGTGTAGACAAGGCTGCAGGTTTTCCTTGTTTAATGAAAGTAGACTGTTGCATGCTGAGAAAGCCTGCTGTCCACAGCCATCATTACCACCACTTTGCAGCTCATGTAATTAGAACTCACATGGGATTGTTTACTGGGCTGCTTCCTTGCACAGACCTAAATACCCTGCCATCCACTGAGATCTCCAAACTGCATGCCTGCCTGGATATGGGCAGTAGGCAGGATGATGCCTGTTTGAAATAAGTCAAAATGACATTTCTTTTAGCTGAATTCAGGTCAACCTGCACTTCAGGGTTAAGCCAAGCTGGGGTACAATAAAAGTTAGCAATATTCTGAAGGAATTTCTAGTGAATTCTTCTGTGCCTCCTCTCTTGTTGCAGCTGATGAACCCTTCTTAGACATCTTCAAGCATTCATCTGAATTAATATATGATGACACATTAATGCAGGAAACATTTTCCTTAGTGAATATGCACAACAAGACAACCCTGTCTTGTTACGCATAGGAAGATAACAATAAATATGTAGACCACCACTTGACATCAAGTCATTTGGGAGTGCATAAATAAGCCATAAAAGTGACAAATCCAGTCATTTACAAATTTTCTAAATAGAATTTAGATCAAATGATAAAGATGTGTTAAAACAATACGTGAGTTTATGAGTAATTTTCTGCTGGAATACACAAATGTTCTCCATCATCATCAGCTTTAGAATTTCACTGCCAGGTAGGAAAAAGTAACGTAGTCCTCCCTGCTGTACTTTGCACTGGGAGTTAAGGTTACCCGAGCTGTCCTAGCACTGCTTAAGGGTAGTAATTAGGATATTTTGCTTCTTCCTTAACAACAGAGGAGGCTATTGACTGCCTTTGGTTATGTCCTGTGTGTCCTTCTGTAGGAAACAGATGAAAAGGGTCACCATATCAGTGGCCTCCACAAAACTGGAGAAATCAACCATCAACATTTTTTGGAGTGATAGTTTCTGTGAAAAGTTGTTTGACATGTGGTAAGTAGATTAAGTATCTTAGATTTCAGGGGAAAATGTGTTGGTGAGATGTTTACTTAGTAATGCTTTGCAAAATTCATCTGATTTTACTGCAACTACCTACATCCTTCTATCTTGGTAAGTGTGACATAGCTGACATTCATTGACATGGACTTAAATATTCACAGCCATAGGAATGTCATGTAATTTGCACTAACATTATTACACTGTACATTTTATATACACTTTGATTTTTTACAAGAAAATTATTTATATTTCCATGTTCCATTGGTTTAAACAAAACTCAATCAAAAAGACAGGTTGGTGTGAAGCAGTATTTATGAGTGCAGCAAAACTTTGCATGATTTTCATAGAAGCTTTTAATTTCCCTGGGTAAATTGCGTAATTCTTGTTAGTCATCACAATGTTCAGCCAAAAATCCCAGAACTATAAATGGAAGAATATTTTAAAATCAAATATACTCAGAGTAATTTTTGAGTGATGAGGAAGGTTGATATTTTTGATAAATCTAACTCTAGTATTTTACCATTCTGGAACAGGATGGGATTTGAGACATGTTTTTTCTTCTACTTTCATCCAGCATGAGGGCAAGTTCCCCTTCTCTTTAGCAACTTATCCTACTTTCATGTTGGTGGTGTCCAGGCAACGCCCCTAGACTTCCTTATGATTATTTTCTTTGCGCGTTTTCCCATCCTAGACTCCATGCCAGTTTCCATCAATTTTAGTTTACTCTATTGGCAAAAAAATATTCTATATTTTTTGATTGAAAAGTATTTGAACCAAATATATTTAATTCCTGCCAACAACTGTAAGCCAAATTTCTTCCTTCAATTACATCCCACAACACATTTCTCAAGTTAACTCTTTTTTCTCTGCTAACCAAAATAACCTCACTCCTGTTGATATTTTTGTGAGTCTCAATACATTTTAGAAGAACATGACTATGTCTGCTCTCTCTGTGGAGATGATTTCATGCTTGTATTTCAAGCTTTAACCCACAGTAATTATCCTTCTCCCTGGCTATCAAGAGAGTCATTCTGCACTGAAGTTCATACAGGCCATGCTCTCACTAAATCTCTCAAAGATATGAGTAAAGTGTTGACCAACAGAGGAGATCATGCTAAAACTAACCCTGCCTCAACCACTGCACGTACTGCAATTTCTGAAATAACTGTGACACCATTATTACAAGAATACTAGGGATATAAGCAGCCAGCTGCCCAAGGAAGCAGTCTAATAGCTGAGCTAAAGCACACAGACAGCATCTCAACAGAGAGTTGTCCTCATGCACAGGTCAGCGGATCCTGAAGCCAGTGCCACTTGTTTCCTGCAGTGGCCGGTGATGACTTGTCTAGTCTGATCCCACTCACTCCCCCAGTTGCCTGCTGTGAGGACTAGCAAGGGTTGGGAGAGTGATAAATAAATCAGAGGCTTTTCAAAGGGACTTAAACTCACTGTGCTGAGCTTCATTACATAAAGTCTTTTCTACTCCTACACATTGACTGAAAGAACAAATTATTTTGAACAAGAGCAGAGATTATGAGAAGGGTGACCTATTTTAGAGCTGCTCGGCCGTTCCTTATTTGTCTTAGTTACTTGGCCAAAATTAAAAGTTTTGGTTTGGTATGTCCAGTGTTAATATCATACTCACCCAAACAGGGACTGATAATTCATTGATAAAAATATGCCATGGCATATTTTACAGAAGACTAGCAGCTACAAACCCACATATTCAATTTTTTTTAAATTTATAATAGTCTGTTTAAAGTCAATATTATATAATTATATTAATATCATTAATATATTATTATTATAACATTGATAACAATAATAACAATAATAATTGCATTACTATTAGTGATGTAGTAATATCAATAATGTGAAATTACACCTTTATCACATGCAGAGCTCATATACTCATGACGAAGGACTTCTGCTGATAATATTGTGTCATATTTCAGGAATGATACTCCCCAGTTCAGTGCCCCTATTGCTTATTAATATAATAAGTAAATAAATTATACAGACCCAGCTAGATGGTTGAAGGTTCACTGCCAAATCCTCTTTATTCAAATGAGACAACAGCTTAGATATATGTTAACACGTCCCACCATGTGACCTTAACACCCAATCGCCATGGGGATATCACTGCCCATGTGATAGAGTGCTTGGGAAACTACATCTCCCAGGGTGCTGTTCAGCACCCTTCCTGAAACCCGACCCCTACATATCCCCCTTTCTTTTTTATTACAAGTGATAGAACAATTTTTAACATTACGACAAGCAACATAACAATTCTTAACTTTTTTCTTAAACTTATTTTAACCATCTGTGTAATCAGGGCCTAACATGATAAGGCCTTTCTTGAAATTGTTCATATAACTTTACTAACAGTGCAACTTTTATAATTCCACAAACAGTGCAAGTGTAATACGCAAGTTCACTTAGGACTTTCTACCTAAGGTTTTATGTGTATCTGGGATAAACAACAACTTTATTATCTTAGGGCTTCAGCAAAACTGGGTTGAACATCGACTTCCACTTCCCCAATGGCCTGCATGTAATTGGTAGAAATTCAACTCCATTTCAAGGAAAGGGCCCTTAGAGAACGAGTGTTGTGTTATGCAAGTGTAATTTGCTCAAGGCACATGAAGCACAAAGTATTTCCAAGTCATGTTCACACAGCTTCTCTCATTCATAGAGCTTTCACATTCATACATAAGTGGCCACTTTAGTAATTTCTTATCCATGCATACTTAGAATTTTTATTATGCTTTTATTTAAATCACGTAGTTTGGGGGTTTTAGTGGTTATTTGCCATGGCCTGGTGGGGAAGGAAATAGGGACGCGACACTGCACAGAGGGGTCCAACAAGGTGGAAGGTTGGGGTGCAATGGCCACTTTATTAAGAGGAACGAGAACTTATATAGGGTTCAGGTGAGGGAGGTCCAATAACCGGGGCAGAGCATAGGATGGACATCTCAGGGTACAACAGGATTGGGGAGTAGGGAGAAGGAGGGAGGAACCTGGGAGGAGTCAGGTGCTTGGGACCAACGGGAGCTCACTCCGCACTGCAGCATTTTTCGACCAATCAGTGTGGGATGAGCGGGAAAGCAGGGGAGAGCAAGGGAGTAAACAACTTTTGGCGGGAAACAACTGGGGACAAGTTCAGACAAGTCTGGGGTAATACAAATCAAGGGGGTTAGTACAAAAATATATATATATGGGTACATTAAACTGTGTTCAGAACTGGGGTAAAAACATGGAAGTCCATAAGTTGTTGTTTTCCTCAAGCACCATACAGGTCTCTCCAAGCTTGGAAATGCTGCCATTCTGTTTCTTGATCCTCCACATCTCCCCCTTCTTTGTTTTCTTGAGACAAAGTTAAGAAGATGGATTTGGGGATGAACCTTTTGCATATGGCTACAACACAACAAATGGTTAATAACAACACAAAAAGAGTAATCAAAATTCCAGAGTGTATTAACACTATTTGTTTGACTCAATTAGGAAGATTAGGCGAGCCTAGTTTATCAAGTCGTCAGTGGAAAGTTTAGGGGAAAATTTAATATCATCAATGAGTTTACGTAGGGTGTTAATACTATGGGATATGGACTCTGAGTCATCAGAAAAATTAAGACAACACATGCCTTCAAAGTCTTGACACCCATGGCCATGTAGTTGCAACAAAAAATCTATAGTGGCCCTATTTTGGAGGGACACGTCTTTTAATCTCTGCGTGTCTCTAAATAAGCCTTCCAGGGTGATGCTGGTTGTGTTAGTCTCTTTCGCCAACCAGCACCCCATGTGTGTTAGAGTGTTGAGGGCATGTGATGTACTATACCTGCACTAATAAAAGAACTGAAATAATTATCAGTAGTGGACCAGAGGTCAACACTGGGGTCACAGTCCTCTGGAATTTTAGGAATGGGAAGAACTCCCACTGGAGGATGCGAGGTGCCTGGGGGAACTAAAGCAACTTTTGAGGAAGTCAAGGGAGCATCTTTCTGCCATTTAAGTGGGGACTGGAGGGTAGGGTAATTAAGAGAATCCTTTCCATAGAATTCAATCGCATAGCTACGGTTGAACCTCCAGTCTTTCTTTGGAGATGATTGAGTCGCTGTAATTTTTCTTGTGACTGTGACTGGTCTTTTAGGGGTTATATACCATACTGGTGGTCTGGGGGTCAAGGGTCTAGCTTCTGGCCCTACAGCGGGGTATTTTGCTTTTGCCCAATTGAAATCTCGTTTTTGCCGAATGAGGGTAGCGGGTTTTTCATTAATTAACTTACACTTAAGTGGGTGAAACAAAGTGACTGTGCAAGGTCCCCCAATGGGGTATGAAGGAATCCCAATCCATACCCTTTCCCCACAGATGAGGAATTTTCCTTGGGGCAACATGCTAGGTTTGGACCCTACTGCTTCCGCAGTGATTATTTCTGGTGTGGTGGTGGTGCACCATAAGGAAGTATCCTTGTATAGATCTTTAAAAGGAGTGACATCATTCTTTTTGATTCAGGAAGTGGACCGGGATACGAATCTGAAACACCGATTGGTGATCACTGAGCCTAAGGTTTCAAACTCAATAGGCTCTGCCTCTGTATAAGAAGGGGATTCAAAATATTTTTTAAAATCCTTGTCAAGGGGGATACCATGTCTGGAACAAGTTGTTTACATTATTAATAGAAAGACATATTACATCATTATTAAGTTTCCCGTGCCAGCTTCACCCAAGTATTCTCTATCTGTTGGAATGCCCAGATTGGGACAGCTGGTGTGGGTTCAGGTGCAATGACAACTATTCCGATGACGATGGAGATAATGTAGGTGCTAGCGGTCCGCATGTTGTGTCTTGAAATATCCTCACTCTCCTTGCCAGGACCCACTTGGGTCCGGTATCTGCAGAGATGCAGGCATACCCTTTCCCCCAGGTGATGAGAGGAAAGGGGCCTGTCCAACTATCAGAGGGTCTTTATATAATATCTTTGCCTTTCTTGTGTTCTGCCAATTTTCTGATTTGAAATGTCTTTCAACAGGACTTCTACTTATGGGCATGTCCGATTCTTCCAATAGATTTAAAAAATTTAGAACGTACATTGTCTTTTCTAATCTTTCTTGGGGAGCCATACCCATACTCCCCCTTTTTTGTTTTTTCAACAGGTTTTTTATATTTTGGTGGGCACGTTCTATAGTACCCTGTCCTGTGGGATTATGAGGGACCCCGGTGTGTGGTGAATACCCCAGTCATCAAAGAATTTTTTGGTATCTGTAGACACATAGGAGGGTCCATTATCTATTTTTATTTGCTTTGGAACTTCCGTCCTAGCAAATGCCGATAAGAAATGTTTTTTAACATCTCTACTTTTTTCCCCAGAGTGTGCGGTGGCCACAATCATTTTAGAGAATGTGTCAACAGACATATGTACATATTTAAGTTTTTCAAATTCTGGTATATGTGTGATGTCTGATTGCCAGATCTCTAATGGTTCCAATCCCCTAGGATTGGCCCCTTCTGGGAGTAATGGAGTAATCATCTGACAATCAGGGCATGCTTTTTAAATCTCTTTAGTTTGGATTAATTTTAGGCCAAATTGCTTTTGTAGTGACCGTGCATTCTGGTGAAAAAACTTGTGAGAGAGTTTGGCTTGTTAGTACAGATTAGGTATTTCAGCCATACCTGCCAACAATTGGCAATTAGGTTTCCCTCCACCACAGGACCTGGTAGTGCAGTATGAGATCAGGTATGAACTGTGTAATATCCAAATTTTCTGCTATGAATTAAAAATAGTAAATCCTTTAATAAGTAGAATAAGCGTTTGTTTGAGACTTCTTTTAAGTACGAATTTTCAATTCTTTTCACTATACCCACCACATAGGCCGAATCAGATACAATATTGATTGCTTCGTTTTTGAAAATTTTAAATGCGTGAACAATTACTGATAATTCCACAATTTGAGGAGAACCTTGTACTCTGTGGATATCCTGTTGCCAGTTTCCATTTTCTTGCCAAACTATGACTGCATTTCCTGTTCTCCCAGACCCATCGGTAAAGAGTTTTTTGGCTCCCTTTATGGGAATTTCCAATTGGATAGTTTTTAATCTCATTGGAATTTGTGTTAGTCTTTGTATAAATTGGCACGCCAGGAGGTGAAATTTTATTTCTCCCAGGTAACCCCTGATGGCAATCTGAAAGTCAATGGAAGTCTGCAGCAGCTGCTCGAGCTGCTCAGAAGTCAATGGGAGATAGACATAATCTGGTTCTCTTCCATTGAGTTCTAAGCTTCTCGTACACCCCTTAAAAAGTAATTTGTCAATCATTTCTACCATTGTCACGATAGTTTTTTGGAATTGGTGAGGTAGGAATAGCCATCCCCAAGTAGAGGTCCTTGTAATTCACCGAAAATTGGCCCAGGATGGCGAACAGTTGCCTACTTTCTCTAATGATGACTAAAGAGGATGGCAGTCCCTCCATCCTTCGATTCGTTTGCCGATCAGATATTTTCTCCTCTACAATAGAGAGGGCTTCTTCCGCTTCCGGAGTCAGGGATCTTGGGGAGGACAGATCTGCATCTCCTCTTAATAATTCGAACAGGGGGTGCAGATCACTGGTTGTGATCTCTAGCACAGGACATATCCAGTTAATGGCTCCCAACAACTTCTGGAGATCATTTAAATTTCGGATTTTCCTGTCAATTGTAACTGATTGGGGCCTAATAGATTTGGAGCTAATTTGGAATCCGAGATGTCTCCAGAGTGCTTCTCTCTGCACCTTCTCAGGGGATACTTCTAGTCCTAGGAAAACTGAAGTAAGCAAACTAAAGGATGAATCAGGAAGGAAAAATAGAATCCTCACAGCTGAAGCCCTTGCTGTGTCTATAGTGTCTGTACTGCCTCCGTGATGTATTAAGACCATATGTACTCTTACCAAGGGCATCCCCAAACTCTGTGGACTCTTCTCAGTTTGCATATTTGCAGTCTTATAGAGGCAGATATGGGAAGGGCTTTGGTCACTCAGCAGGCAGCTGCCCACTGCCCCTGGAGCACAGCTTTCAGCTTAACAGCAGAGATCATCTGCAGCCCTCCCAGTCTGAGCCATTTTCCTAGAAAGTTGATGCCTGTTTTTCCTCCTCTTAAACGGTCTACTCAATGATACTCTGTGTTCTCACTGTACTCAGTATACTCAACAACATTGAAGCCAGCTTTGCAAGGCATTCCAGCTTCTCTGGGTTTTATTTGGTTTGGTAAGAGACAGCTCATGTTTTGCAAAATCATAGAATATGCTGAGTTGAGAGGGACCCACAAGCAACACTGAGTTCAACTCCTGGCCCTGCACAGGACCATTCCTAAGTTTCAGCCTGGTCTAAATAAAAATTCAGGAGACAGATCCCAGTGACCACCTACCACTAGACCAGAAGTGTTTCACAGTCAATCAATATTAAGAATTTTCTGAATTTTAAGCTCCCAGGTTGGCTTGTATCTCTGCACACCTGTATGCACATTCATTTTAGAACTGCTGGAGCTATCTTGCATGGCCATTGATGCAGCACTGCCTTTCCATCCTCCCTTCTCAGGGTGACTCTGTGTCCACATGCATGTCTGCTAGAAGCATCTCAATAACCAAGGGAGGTAAAGTCATGGCACTGATTTCATGCTGGAGTTAGCACAAAGATAAGTCTGACCTCCATCCTGCTGAGGTGCAGCAGGTACCATTGGTGAGTGCTGCTGGAGCTCTTGCCCTATGGTGGTGCTGAGCACTGCTTCTGATACACAGCCTCTTGGCTGCCTCACAAGTCCATGCTTTGCTTGACACCATGTGGCTTTGGCTTGAGAAATAATCTCAATGCCATATCTGAAATATTTGACCTGCTCATTTCACTAGCCAGAAGAATAAGCTAACAAGAATTCTTCAAAAAATGCTGGCACCTTAATTCCTTTATTTTATTGGCCAAACTATGAAATTTTAAGCCATTATCTGCCATGGTCTGAAGGGGGAGGGGAATGGGGCCATGGCACAGCACGGACGGGTCTGGACTAAAGGCAGAGGTGCAAATGGAATGCTTTATTGAGGTGTGCACGGGGTTTTTATGAGTTCAGGCAGGGAGAGGGCTAGAACATGGGGTGGAGCATGAGACAGACAAACGGGGGAACAAATCAGGGGAGGGACACAGGCAAAGGGGGAGGAACATGGGAGGAACCGGGGAAGGAAAGGGAGAATGGTAACTGTCTCCTCTCTGCAGCTTCTTCAGCCTATCCGAGAGGGCAGCAGGGAAGCAGGGATGCCTGGGCCTGCCCGGGAAATACAAATCCTGGGGAAACATACAATGTGTATATTTATAAACACATAATAACGGTAAAGTCCGTATCATAAAGTCCTTTCAATCGCTGTACATCTTTTTCCATTCCTGAAATTGTTCCCATTCTGATTCCTGGTCCTCAACAATTATCTTCAATGACTCTTCAAGGTCACCAGTGTCAGAGCAGTTGAGTCTCACAGCTCACTGGCCTCCTTCTCTCTGGCTTTTGTCTGAAGCTTCTGCAAGCATGGAAGGTGCTGTGGATAATTTTTGTGAGCAGGAAAAAACAGATACAGGGCTAGCTTTGAGCTTTTTTTTTACGGGCATTTTTTTGCTCCATGCTGAAGTATTGTAAATGTTTATTGTATCTGAGCTAGGAGGTGGAAAGTCATCATTATACAGCAACAGCAGCTGCACATAATTTATATATAGTATACTTCATTACAGTATATAGTACTGTAATTTATATGTAGTAAATTTCTGCAAGGTTTTGAAGGCCTTTTCAAGATCTGAGTTAAAATATCTCCAATGAAACCATTCTGTGGACTGATTTACTGTGTGTTTCAAACAGTTCTTAAAAACTAGCCTCAGTGTTTTTTAACAGAGCTTCTGCACAGTAGGTATGGCCTTGGGTTCTCAGAGAAGTGTTAAAAATCCAACTAGGTTATAATGGAGAAGAAGGAGTGACTGACACACCAGCACCACAACCTGCACTGAAAGTGTAAACTGTTCTACTCGCAGCAGGCAAAAATTTCAGGACGCAGAGTCACTGGCAAACTGCACTTTACTGGTTATAAAAAACTCTTCCCTGGATGTGAATTTCCAGAAGCCAAACAAAAATAAGTGATTTGTGCAATATATGAATTAACTCAGTCAACAGCTCAACAACTCAGGTTGGGCAGGAGCCATTTTCATCTCTGAGGAGCACCTCTACTTTCTCAGACCTTTGATCAGCTAGCAGGACTTGTTTTTGTCATTGGCACCATACAGGGATGGTGGAGGTGGCTGGTCAGGAAAGGATACTGATGAAAACATCCCTGTGTCAGGAATGACAGCAGTGTCCTAGAACAATGTTTATGTCTTAGATATATTTTCTCTCACACCTCTATCAACAGCTTAACCAGAAGAAGTCCAGATTCTCCGTAAGCCACATCCCTGCCTGCTGTCTACTGAATAAGCAGAGAAATGAAGATGGAATTACATCTACCTAGACTGTTCAAAGTTCTTGTGTGTTGAAGGCACAAGTTGATTTCTCCTTGAAAGTACCATCACAATAATTTACTTTTTCTTCATAGGGTTGAGGGAACAACTTTAAGTAACTGACAAATTGATTAGCTCTCCTTGATGTCACATTTATAAATATTTCTCCTCTGAATTTTATTGATAGTTTTGTGCTGTCTCTTTAACCCTTTAGGCCCCTGAATTAATTTTTCCCAAAGTTTAAAATGTAGAGGAGTCTGTTAGGAAATGTTCTGAGTCTTTTTTTTTTCCTAAAGTACTCTGAGGAGTGCAAACAATGATGAAAAAAGAAAGTAACTCTGACAATAGAATACTCTTGTGAAAGATTTACTACAAGGAGGCAGAGTTATTTGCTTAGGAAGGCTTTTCTACCTAAAAGAAACATTTTTCTCAAAGGCAGTTTTGATGATTTCTCCCCCCACATTCCAGAGAGGCTCTCAGGCTCTCTCTCCTGTATGTGAGGGGAGAGATAACACTCGCAGACATGCTATGGCCCTCTGCAGCCAGCGGGGAGAGCTGAAGGGGGCCAGCAATGATAAAGCCCGAAGAAGAACAGGAGGTGTGACTTTTTTTCTCAGGCCCAGTGCTTTTTGCAGCACTGCAAGAAATTTTTTGTAAGTCTAGCGTTCTCAACTTTCAGAATAAATTTTCCTGAACTCCTTCACTGCCTGGCATTTCAGGGGTACCTGCGTGTTATCTTACTTCACAGTAGCAATAATAAAAAAAGAAAATTCAGATGTATTTGCCCCATTTGAATATTTTGCTCCCTATGTGCAACACTTCCCTGCAATATCCCCACATTGCTGTTGGTCTGCTTGTTGAGGAAAATTAAGTTGCTGTGCTGTTAACAGTTTTATAACTCCTTGGTTTTTAATTCCTTGGGCATGTCAGACAGATCTGATGGAAGTTTAGTCCTCAAAGTTTTGAATTTCCTGCAAGTTTAGAGAGAATCATTAGTCCTGCAGAGCTGCAGAGAAGTACCTCAGCTGACCCTCAGCATGAAGTGAGGGTAATTTGTTTAATTTTATTTAATTTTACATAATTTTATTTAGCCTTCTGACCAGCAGCATGCAGAAGTGGAAACATAGCTTGCAGCAACCCCAGGTGTGCTGCCTTTGGGCTGCTGGAGAAGAGTAGCAGGGGTTTTTGGTGTTCACCGGAGAGATCCTTCCCCTCCTCTTTGCCTTGGAGACATGACTTACCTGCTAGAAGAGCAATTATCCACCAAGGAGATCATTGCTTTCCTCCTCCATCAGGCTTTTTCTGAATCAAAGATGACCTCGTCTCCTATCTCCAGGGAAGTGGAAGTCTCCAGGGAGACTGATGCCCTGTGGCTGCTGAAAAACTACACCCAGACTATCATGAACATCATTAAAAAGCTCAGCCAGGACACACACTGATGAGTACCTTCTTTGATTTAGTAGTCAGCTCTAGCCCGTGGTCCATCCAGCACTATATTCAGGAGCAGAAAACTACTCTGAAGCCATGACCACTCTGGTACCATAACCTCTACCTTTTAGTTAAATTCTGATTTTTTCTTGTACAGTGGTACTTGCCGTTACCTGTGAAAACAGAGGGGAGATAACTAGGGAAAGTAAAAGAAAAAAAAAGAAGAAAAATGAAATAAAGAGCAGATTAATGAGTTTTGATGGTGTTTTAATTAGAAGGTTTGGATTCTATTTGCTTTCAGTTTTGTTGGAGTGTGGAGATGGAATTCAAGAAAAATACAGATAGTGCAGGAGATTTTGTTCAAGGAAAATAAGGAACGAGCTGTTATTATCATCTAACATATAACATCAAGACTCAAGTTTGGGTTTACTTCTTACTTTTCCTGATGCAAATATTCAAACTTCTGCATAATCAAAAATTACTAAAATGCCTCATTAAAACTCAGTACAGACTGGAATGAAGGTCCAGGTTCACATTTATTTAAACTGACTGATGTTCTGTGCTGGAAAATCATGATGCCCTTCTCCTGCCTAAAGACCTGATTTTATTTTCAAGAATTTGATGTTATGGTAGTAAGCAATGTTATTAAAGCACTTACTTATTTTAAATCATCCAGTTCCTCTAACATTATCCAGATTCAGTACCTACAGTATGGTTTTGCTAGAAGCATCTCTAAGATGCTATCAGCATCTAAATCTCATCTTTTCCCTTGGTTGTAAATTACATTTCTCTAAGTCCTAATCTCAGGTGTATGCTTGATTTGTGAGTTTTGGTTGTCAGAATTTGATAGGGATAGACCACTGATAGTGCAGATAACAGTAAAGTGAGACATGTCAATCAAAGCCTTTACAGAATTAGTGGAGGTTTGGAGAATTGCTCCTGGCACATAGCAAATGACAGTGGTTGAACAACATTGATTTCTCAAGAATTAAAATAAAAAGAAAGGTTCTGCCACTAAATGCGACTCACTCATAGTCTAAATCTTCCCAAAAGTAGGAAGAATATGCTTCAAAAAAGCTTTGGAGAATGCTGGCATGCTGTTGCCACTAAGGCAACCAACCCACACCACGCTCTCTGGAGCCTCTAATTGGCTGCAGCACCCCTCATTTTGGCTAGGAGGGCAGTGAGGGGTCAGTGAATTGGATGCCCACCTGAGACCGGTGGCCACAGTAGCCAAACCATATAAATAGAGGTACACAGGGCCTCCATTTTGTCCTGCCTTCTCTCCTGGAAGCTGCCACCATGTGACTTTTGGCAGTAACTACTTTTTTCTCTCTTTCTTCTTTCTTCACTCCTTCTTCTCTCTGCTCTTCCTTTACTCTTTTCTTCCTCTTGTGGGTAACTTAAAACCAATGGATTGTATTTTACTAATTTGTGGGTCGTTGTGTGTTGGGTTGTTTGTTAGTCCTGTAAAACCCTTTTGCCAAAATGCCTATTTTCACACTAAATTAAAAGAAGTTCTCTTGAGAAAAAAAAAGTGCGTAGCCTTTTCTCTTTATGCGATTCATGATATCAAAGAACCAAAGGCTCTGCAAGAGTTTGGTTGAGCACTTCTTCTCAGCAGTAGGCCCTGGCAGCTTGCCTTCAGCAATGCTCCTGTGTACATCAGTCTGACAAGATATGCCATCCAGAGGAATGATGCATCTGGCAGGCTACATGCTCCCATTCTGGGAACACAGAGCAGCAGCTTGGTTATTTCTGGAGCTGACTCACTTCATCAGCCACCTGCACCACACAGCAATGTTGGTAAACTCAGAGTGTGTTCCAATACCACAGTTCTGCCAGGTTTGCAAAGACCTTCCTTGGGAGGCAGAGCCATTGCATCAGGGCCACAGGACTCCCTTAGGTTGCAAGGGCTAAAGAAGGTCAGAGGATTTTGACCATATTTATCAGAGTTGGAGTTGACTTCATGCAACTTGAAGATTAAGGAAGGGGTGGGCAGCTGTGCTGATCATGCTTGAGGGAGAATTGCTGAGCATGCTTCTGAGGGAGAATTGCCTCCAACCCTTAGTTAGGTAGCTCTTACAGGGGTCAGCCTCCTTATTTATGCCAGCAGCTGAACTGCGTTTACACCACTGTGTTGCACTTCTTCAGTCAGAAAGCTTGGGCTTGAGATGGATGCTAGAAAGCAACCTGAAAAGGGTTATTTAAGTTCAGTCTCACATTGCACAATGTGAGAGCAAATCACTAGATTCAAATAAATAAATAAATAAATAAAATAAAAATTTAAAAAGCACCCTTGTCCTGGCCCAGCTCTAATTTCCCCGTTTATTTGATTTGTTGGGGAAGAGAAAATCGACACATTCTCCTGGGTACCAGACCTCACCTTACATTTATTCAGTGCTGTCAGACACAGAATTAGAAAGAAAGACCAACTGAATGTATGGGTGGGAGAAGGCAGGTTAATGTGGCATAAGTAAAGTGTCTTATTATAAACCTGTATTTTGTATTTAAAGGGTAGAAAAAAAGTAGATGAAAAGCTCCTAATTCTGTCACTAAAGCTAGAATAAATGGATAAACCACAGAAATAAAAAAAAGCAGTTGAACTAGATGAAAAATGATGAAAAAAGACTTCATGTAAGAATTGCCAGATTTAAAAGAGAGATCAGAAAGGAGCTTGAGGAAGTGCAAAATGAATACAGATCAGGTGAGAATGGGATTTCATGCAAGTTATTTTAGAAAGATATTTCTACAGTAACTTGCTACTGAAGAAACCACTTTCCAGTAGAGACAGATATTAAAATTACTCTCTCTCCCAAACCCCATATACAAAGGTGTATGGGTTAGCCCATTTGTCTTTGCAAACAGTCGGTGTGGCTTTTCGCACACGAGTTGCATCCCCCACCTAAGAGTTTCAAGATAAGACCATTTAAAGGCAATTTCACAACCTGTTTTCCAGATTTTTTTAAGAGCACCTATTTCTTCTGTTAGCAAGATCCTCGACCCTCATAGGGAGTCAGAAGTCTCTTGCACAGATCCTGCTGCTGTGATCATGTTTGATGGTTTTGTGTTATTTCCATGCTTTACTCCCCATTCTCAACCAACAGCATCTTGGTGAGTTACAGCTACCAACACAGACCATGCATTGAGCAAGTGAAGAAGGAAGCAGTCAGATGACATTGCTGATACATGCAGTACTTTTTATGGGGATAGTCACGGTAATGTCTCTCACAAAGCATGAGCTACTTTACCAGATGATTCTGGCTGTTCAACTTCCAGCAGCAAATAGAAAGACTTTCACCTGGCACTGAATACATAGTCTTCACAAAAGAAGATTTCACCCACTGTAATGTACTCTTCATCACTCAAATCTTACCTATACTAATACCCTTCATTTGCAGCTGCTCATGGAAGCACAGTGGACATAGCAGGTTATCCAAAAAGAAATAACTCAGCCATCTCTTCAAGAGAACAGATGGGTGAAAATCACTACAGGACTATTTCACATCTCGCATGTTCTCAGCTGGAACTCGAGCATCTGGTTCTCATTTTCCAGGTTGTCTGTGACAGAGGACTCCAGCTCTTCACTTCAGCTCCAATTCCTTCATCATCTGCAACCAACACACAAACCCTGCTTGAAGGCTGTAGTAAACCAAGCTCTCTTTTAGTTAAGGTCTTTGTGCATCTAGACAGGGCAAGGCTTAGCTGTCTACAAGATCTTCTGAGTGAGCTCAAAGAAAGC